ATGTACAGTAAGCTTTTAAGTGACGTCAGAACTCCTGGGTATTTACCTAAATCTCCACTTAGCTCCAGTCCTCTTTAGTCCACATCAGGTCCATTAAACACAATTATCACCATATTGCCTCTGATTAACAGTAAGTAGAAAAGAACAGAGGCCACAAACTTTAATATTCCGGAGGCCTGGTCTACCCAGGCTCTTTACTGGCAGATTTGTTCATCTCTGGCTCCATAGGCAGAGAGAAAGGAAAATATGTAGATAGAATACATTAAGGCCCTTAGGGAGGCTGGGGATATTCCATACAGAAAGGAAAGTAATAAGGCATTCTTTCATGTATTTTAAAAGGTGAGAAAAGGACTTTTGTTGAAGAGAATAAATAATCAGGTGTTGTAAAGTGGGGAATTTTTACTCCAGTTTGGTAACTAAGCAGTATTCTCTAACCTCTAAAATTATCAGTCCTGAAATTGAAAACCAGAGATAATCATGGATTCTTCTCTGAGATGCATGAAACAGAGCTAGTCTCGGGGACTTGGATTGGCTTATGTGTCTCATGAAGATGTGTGATTACGGTTACACTAAGTATTTTCCACAGTTCGTTCCAACTCTAGATTCCTAACGCTGTGTGTTAATCAGTTGTATATCACTATGACAAAACATCTGAGATAAAATGACTTACAAGGGGAAGAGTGATTACGGTCCACAGTTTCCAAGGTCACTTGGTCCCACTGCTTTAGGTCTAAGGTGGAGTTGCATGCTGGGGAAAAAGTCCTCATTTACAGCAACCAAGAAGCAGAGAGAGAGAGAGAGAGAGAGAGAGACCAATGGCCTCATGTCACTTCCGGGGCACCCTCCAGTGACCGGACTTCCTCCCACTAGGTCCAGCCTCCTAAGGATCTAGCACCTTCCAACAGCACTGCAGGCTGGCAACTAAGCCTGCAGCATGTGAGCCTTTAGGGGACATCTAAGATCCAAACCATAACGTACTGGCAGTCAAATACACAGTCTTCTCTTAAGTCAACTCAAAGACAGGTAATGATGAAGTAAATTGACAAATGAGATGGAATAAATTACATAAAGCAACTTCACCATTTAATGCTACAGGAGATTTACATGTAGGCGTCCCACCAGATAAAAATATAGAAGCCACCACCCAACCACGGATTTTAAAAGCAAATATCAAGCAGCACAAGAAGGGGCAAAGCCTTTCCACAACAGAACTTCAGAGAGGTGACCGTAGTCAGGTAACCTCGATCAGAAGAGGAACTGAAAATACAGAAGGAGACGCATTGTTTACAAAATCACTCCCACTGCCAGACCCAGAGAGCATCAGAAGAAACTAACATTTGTCTTTGATGATTCCCTCCACCAGTGGTGGTGAACCAATGGCATGCATGTAATTGGGTTTTTCTTATAAGACAAAAGATGTTAATGTATGAGTTGCTTTTTTCTAAACTAAAACCTCAGTATTCAGGTTTAATTGCAGTATTGGCACTTGGCGATAAATAAGTGGGTTTGGGATTGCTGTTTGGGCACTGATCTCTAAAAGGTTCGCCATCACTGCCCCAGATCTCAGGCTTCCAGTATCTTTTTACTGCTATCTGGCTGTTCAGACTTATTCCTAGAAGCAAATATTTCTTGTCTGCCTTTTTTTTTTAACCAAAGAGATGTACCTTTTGCTATTAGACTTTCCCAGGACTGATGCCTTTCATTCAAACTTTTAGTCCTTTTCTCATTGTTTTGAGTTAAATTGATTTACTGATCCACATCAAAGGATGGTGTTTCCTTAACAACTGATACATCATTCCCACAGTGCTTCAGGTGATGAGAATTTGAAGTGACTTATTAGAAAAAAATTGAAAGGACATTTTGTTGCCCCTAGAATCTAATCTGTCATGTGTCTGCCACATCAGTAAGTTTAAAAAATAGACATGTTAAAATAGTTTTCTATTCTATTTCCCCTCTATCAAATATAAACAGAATATATATGTATATCTAAATACAAAATTTTATCATACTTTTATACTCTTTTATAATGGACTATTTCTGCAAACTTCTAAAATGTTTAAAAACATATTAAGCTGTTTCTTTTGTTTAGTAATGATTGTAATACACTGATAGCATCAAAAACTGAAAAGATTTGTTAATAATATTTCTATAATGAAGAATTTTCTTTGCTTTATTAATTGACCATAAAGAAATATTTACAGAGCTGGGTCTGGTGATCCATGCCTGTAATCCCAGCATTGAGGGAGGCTAAGTCAGGAGGTTCACAAGTTCAATGCCAGCCAGGGCAACTTAGCAAGACCTTGCTGCAAAGTAGAAAGGGCTGAGGATATAGCTCAGTGGTTCAATCCTCAGTACTGAATAGAATTACAAGGATTTGACTTTTAAACACCATTAATGACAAGTGATTCTAAAATCCTCTAATTAATCCCTGGGCTATTTCAGTGAATTGAATCGTTTAGTTTACCCAGAATTTAAAGCTGCACCATTTTCTGTTTGTTAAAGAACACTGCATTTGAGGGCCAGAAGAAACTATTGCTTAAAAATAGTCATTTAACATTTATGAGGCTTTTTATTATTGTTTAGATAATAATAAACACAAACATTGTTTATGGAACATAAAGAATTACTGAATAAGGCAGAAATACTCAATATAAGTGCAATTATAAAGATTTTATTCTTCTTGTTCTATCTTAACTCTTAAATATCACATGCAAAAGTTTTCTAAAAAATCAGCTAATGGCACCTAATGGTTATACTTTGCAGTTTTTAAGGTGGATTCATGCTAACTCCTTTGATGATTATAATAATTCTGTGAGGAAAAATGGACATTACGATCCCTCTTTTACAGATGAGAAAAGACCACAGACTGATAAAGACCACTACTCAAATCTGATTAGGATTATTGTCCTTTTCTTGCTGTTTGTTTTGGGGACCCTCATAGTTATTATCTCCCCAGACCCATAGTGTTAGATCATCTTTCCTGGGAAAACTATAAGCTTTCAGGGTTTTTGCTGAAAATCCATCATTAGTCCAGAATCTCTGGTTCCCATACACAGTGATACCAGTGTTGTGACAGCCAAAGGCTGACCAGTCCCTTACCCATAAGGGAAGATAACCATGCAGGGAGATGATATTACTAAGATGATGTAGCTCACTGTGAGATGCTACACATCTAATTTCCCTCCAGTGGACCTTATAACACAGAGAGAAGGAAGAGATCACTTAAGAAAATAAGATAATGCCATCTAGTGATCAGGAGGTCTAGTAAGAAACAAGTTATTAAAGACACTATATCTGCTTCTCAGAAACACATAAATATAATTCCTAATCTATTATGTGGTCCACACAAAGGATTTATTTAGTTTTTGTTTGCTTATTTATGGGATTGAATGTCCATACAGAGCCATTCCCCTGTAATAGAAGCTCAAATGTTCAGGGTGTGTGTCAGGCCGTTGGAAAAGCTTGGGCTTCAATAGCAGATTCATCTGAGTTTGTCTTTGGAATTCATCAGTTCTCAAGAAAAAACTTCACAAAAATCACCTCAGCTCTCAGATACACACTCTCCTCGTCTGTAAAATGGCACATATTTGGTGCTCAAGAAACAGTAGCTACTATTTCAGGTGTTCAAATGAGAGCCACTTACATGAATGAGCGCCAGTTAAATGAAGGCCCCTTACACAAGTTCAACATGGTTAAATAATAAAGAAGCCTGCAGAACTCAGAAAGCAGCTCCCTTGGAGTGTGAAGGATACCTAGAAATCCAGCTGGGCAGCATCCTTTGAAGAGGGGGGCAAATGAATTCCAGGACATATAGAGATGTTTGTAACGGTGAGCAAGGGAAAATTACTATAAAATTAGCTATAAACAGAGAAGATCTGGCCATTGTGTTTACTTACTTGAATTTATTTATTGACTGTAAGTACAAACCATTTGAAACAGCTAGTCAACCAAATGTATACTTACTGAGATAATACATTTGAAGATAGTTTTAAAATATTACAGCACTTTAAAAATAATGGATCAAATTCTAGTTTTGTTTTCAGCAGAAATAAATAGCTTAACCGTTTCTCATCAGCTGCAAATTCTCTTGTAGTTATTTCAATAATGAATATTCTATGAGAATTTTCCTTCCTTTGCATATGTTTCTCTAGTTAGAATCCAGAAGTCAAAGACTATTTCACTCTGGTATTCTTAAAACAGGTCATTTACTACAAACTATAATTAGGTGTATTACGTTTCCACTATTCGAACTCTTTTTGTCCTCCCTTGTTGTTTATACCTGCAAAACAACCAACCCGGAGTTCTGCCTGGTTACAAATTAATGCCTTGACCTTTCCTACCCCATTTATATTTCTAGAAGCAGCATTTAAATGCAAGACTAAATAAACCCACTCAGTAAGTAAATAATGCTTGTGTATTGCAAATCATAGTTCTGCATCAGGAATAATAATGAAGTTTTGCTTTTTACAGGAAATGGAAAATAAAACCTCAACAAATGGATGCAACCATTCAGAATGGCTCTCAAATGGGCAGTGCTGAAAACTGATATGGTTCCTTGTGAATCACATTATTCAGAGATGGCATCAGCAGCACAGCTCTAGCCCATGCTGGCTTATTGCCCACCCCATGATATAAATAAAAAACCTACTCTAAAAACATAAGCATCTCTGGGGCTGTAATCTGAGCTTCAAAACCTAATTAAACAACTTTTCCCCAGACTCATTAATAAGCACTGAACCAGATGCCACGCAAACACCTGAACACATGACAACCGATGCTAACAAAACATTTCTTAGCATATCATCACCCCTGTGTCATTCTAGAAGAAAAGCAGGTATTGCGCGAGATAATCCCTGTATTATTTGTTTCTGATCCATTTTACCAATTTTTAGAGTACTGCTACCTGAAATTCAGAACTGAAACTTTTTGGCAATGACACACTGATGTATGGAAACCATCCTATTCTGTCCCATCCATGTGAAAGACACCATGCTCTTTACCTGGGGGATTATGTTCATTGAGGATCACAAGTGACGCTGGTGTAGGTCTCCTTTTCCTGATCTGTGAACAACAAAGGGCCAGCTAATGTCAGCGACAGTTGTACACTGCCTTGATTACAGCTTGCGAAGCAAATCCCTTCTCATTTTTTCCCCAACATGCAAAAGTAAACTTCTGGAGAACATACAGTATGTGTTTGCTATTATTTTTAAGAATGACAAGGCAGAGAGCAGAACTGTCAGATATTACTCTCACCTTCTTTGATCACAAAACTACATTTTCCTAGAAAAGAAATCATTGCATATAATCAAGTGATGCAACTGCAAATTAATATATAGTGAAGATAGAAGGATGACTTGCTCATTTTAATGGCTCTCTTGGAGCCTCATAGTATTTGTGAGGCTTTTAAGATCCATTATCCTTATCTCTAAATGGGAAAGAGGAACTTGCAAACCTCAAATTTCTAGTATATGTCATACTTCAATTAGCAGCATGAGTTTTAAATTTCAATTGATATTAGCTTTTATTTTCTAGTATAAAATTAGAGCACATCAGTAAGTAAAGAATAAATATGAACCTTATAATAATAATTAATTCATTTAAAAGATGCTAGGTGGGTTTTATTCTTCTTTAAAAATTATAGAAGCATATTATGATTCAAATGTCTTGCCTGAGGTATCCATTATTTCTTTAATATATTCATGCATAATTAAATTCCTAAAGTATGTGTCAGTAGGATAAAGGCTAAGATGTACCAATGACATCTTGACCAAGACAGCAGCAATGCTCCTTTACACAGAGACATATGTTGAAGGTTGTTTTCATCTAGCCTGAGTCTAGGTGGATCTACTTCAGATTGTCAAAACATCTTAGAAAGTGAGGGGTCTCAAATTCAATTATCATTTTTAAGACTTTGTATCAATATTTGGAAAAGGATTCAGGAATAATTTTGGTTATTAGAAATTAATGACTTAGACTGATATTCCCATAAATTCCTTTGCTCTTGACCCTCTGTAGAACATAACATTTGTAGTTTTATCATAAATGATCTTTTGCATTGAGTCTAAGAAATCTGAAAATGAAAGGTGTTACAGGTGTAAACCAGCATTGGACAAGAAAAAGGAATCTAGGCAATGTTGAAATATACTATCCAAATAAAATGTTCTAAAAATTACACATATAACTTCAGATCCTATTATATATTACATATATAATTACTGTTTGGGGTATAAAATGAAAAGCATATCAACATATTAAGCCTATAACCTAAAATTATTTGGGGATTTAATGCTTTCATTGCTACATCAATCTTTTTATTTTATAAATAATGAAATAAAATGGTGCTAATTTTGAGATTTAAACTTGCTCTAAATGTTGAACCTGTTATTTCAATAAACAAAAGCAAACATTTATATATCCAAATTTGAAGTACTGATACCCATTTTTCCTACTGAGTGCTAATTTTATATGAAACACTGCATATTAGCCAAAAGTTCCCTACAGCAACCAAATCCGTATTAGAAAGCAACTTATTTCTCATTCACCTATCCTAAGAGTTTTGAAGTTAGGGAAATGCAAGAGGTAGCAAACCTTTCCACGATGAAGAAATCATGTTCCTATTACTTGACATACAGGAATTTTCCCCACCCAATTCTACTTACCTGCTCTGCCGCCTCGGGTGCAATCTGACTCTGGAATAAAGGCACAGCAAACTGTATCTTTTTGGGGCTGTTGGGCTCCATGATAGTGCTGAGAATTCCTCAAAGATGGAAAGAGCTCAGAAAGCCCAACCCCAAGTGGTATCCGTGATGTGTTTCCTTACACACACTCCACCAAGCCACACACAGTGCTTTGTAATAAACAGCTGTAATTCCAGACTGAGCAAGTAAAGATGCCGAGATTTGAGCAACTCCCTTCTTCAATATCCAGTGATGCCTGGCTTGCCTGTTCCCCCACCAGTCCTTGGGATCCTCTCAGCACAATACAGAGAGGAACAATAAGCTAATTGTGTGCCTCTTCGCTAATACACATGCCAAGCATTCACTCAGCAGCTAATTGAAAATGCAATGCTAGCCTTGAAGGACCTGCTGCCCTGGGATTTGAAAGAAAGGCTCTATCCACTGCACATTACTAACTGGCTGCTCAAAAGTGCAGTGTAAGCTCCCTCTGAGTATTGCAGGGATGGTTATTCATTATTGATGAACAGAAAGCAGGAAGTTTTCAGAGTTGGGGGGCAGGGTTTGGATCGACAATCATTTCATTTCTCTTACAGCAACTTATAAGTCAGACACCTTTGCTGTTTCACCCTCAGCCACCAAGAAATGAATGACCATGGAGGTGAAGCTACAACCAATAAAATCAGCTACACGAATGCTTAGAGATCCAGTTAGGTTAGACTGATAATTGGAGGCAGAACATCTGTGTACAGCATTGCCTCAAGGCTGAGCAGATCTTAGTTCCAGTTCTGTCATTACCATGAACAACCCCTGTGGCCTCAGAAAAATCATAGGCTATGTCTAGGCCCACACACCTTCAACAGAACAACGGAGGAGTTGGATTCGGGGACCTTTAAGCTCCCATTCTGTTTCAACATTCTATAATTGGAGTTCACAGATTTCATTAGAGTGGAAAGTATTGAACAGCTAAATTTAGCAAATAGCTTGGACGTCATTGCTACTGCAGTGACCTCTGTTTTATTTCCTGGTGGAGCCAGTTACAGTCTCTGACTTGGAAGAATACAGCAGTGACCAGAAAACATTAGTGGAAACCTAATGGTGTCCAACACTGTGGCTCAGTGTTGATCATGGGATGTATGCAAAGAGAAGGCTTTGAGGAAAAGCATGAAAAAGTTAGAATTCAGAAGGACAGAGGATGATGGTCCCATGGCTAGTGGGCAGGAAGGAGAGGCACTGGCCTGATAACATGTCATTATCAAACTGGGGGCAGTGGCATCACCAGACGGACTTCAGAAGCTACCACTTTTTCTGAAGGAAGACTGAAAATAAAACTGTTTGAATGAAGAAAAGACCTTGAGAAATCTATTTTTTAATTTGAGAAGTATAGTTTTATGAATACCAGATTTTTAGATGTTTTTGGTTTTACTGATTATATTTAAATATTGGCTACTAATGTAGGTATTTATAAATCAAGTTTTCTTCTTTTTGAAAACATTTTGATTCTATACCAGGAAGCCACCTTAATGATTTAAGTATGCAATGTTCAGTTGAAAGAATATGGAAAGTAATATGCATTATTCAAGTATTTTCTATACCCACTAGGGGAAAAAGCGAAGATGTGGCTGCGAAAGCACTTTTAGTTGGAGAACAGTGCTGACCAAAGAGAAGTCCTGTGACTGGCTCAGGCCTGTGGTATTGAAGGGAACTTCTAAATCACAGCGCTTTATGGGACAGTTTACAAATGCCCCGGAGAGAGAATAGGAACTGTATTAGCAATGAAGTTATCGCTCTCTTTCTTCGAATTAGATAAAATGAAAGCAGGACAATATTTTTAGTGAGGAATTAATACAAAACTTCATTTAGTGTAGTAATTAAGCTTATGCATTGGACAGCCTTGAGTTCAGACCCTGACTCTGAGTTATCATTTTGGGCAACAAAAGAACTTTCGCTTATGAGGCGGAGATGAGTTAATTCCTGAACAGAGACCATGACGAGGCTGTCACATAACCACTCAGTAAAAGATAGATATGTATTATTTTTAAAATAGATTTTTCAAAAGATATGTATATATATTATATATATGTGCACATATACATTAATAAGAATCTCTACCTCCTTGGAGTAATTTCATATTTCATATTTTATAATTTTATACCAGTTAGAACAATAAGAGATAGAGTGAAATTCCATATACGTGCTATGATATGAATACCAATAAGATGATTGCCATTAACCAATGCCCTTGTTTGAATAGTATGGCCAGAGAAAATCTCAGAGTTCCTAGACCTGTAAGCTTCTTGCTCTTCTTGAGGCCAACTGCACATCCTTCAGGACTCGGCCGAGGACTACTGCTTCTGGAAAGTTTCTCTGGGTTTACTCTACCTGCAGGTCCATCCTTACCTCTTCCGTTCAGCCAAAGCACCCAGTGCAGCTCTACTTAGCACAATCGCTCCCTATCTGTCTTTTAATTGTTAATATTTTACAACCGCACTGATACACATAGCAAACCTTGTGGAGTATATACTACAGTCTACTCCTTGGCAGGCCTTTTGCTAAAACGCTAGAGGGGAGATTGTGTTAAAAGGTGTGTGAAGGCCTTTTAAAGCTAGACTGTTATTCCAAGAATCACAGAAAATATAACCTAAATCTAAAATTTTACGGAGTTTAAATATCATATAGTTTTATACACACACATGACTGTATATAGTTATACTAAATACTAGGTGCACATTTTTTCTCCCCTTAGTGATAACAGTGGTACTTAGTATGGTCCAGGTACTATTCCAAGTATCTTGCCTATATTAATTTAGTTCATACTCATGACAATAACTTGAGGTAGATATGATTGCCATCTCTACCCCAAATTTAATATATTTAACGTTTATCTGGTTACAAAGGATATATTATATTTTTCCCGTGTTTGTGTGTGTGGGGGGGGTGATTATGAATACAGTGCTGGAGATTGAACCCAGGGCCGCATGCATGCTAGGCAAAATCTCTACCACTGAGCTACCTCCCCAGCCCTCTACTGCTGATTTAAAATGAGGCCGTTGTGAACCACAGGGTTCAGGTAATTTTCCCAAGGTCATTCAGCTGTTAATATATGGCAGTGCCCAGTTTCAGCCCCAGGCATATTTGGCTACAGCCTGGGCTTCTTTGATCACGGAGCCACTGAGATGGGAACACTAATACAAGAGCCTGTGGAGAAGTTGGTAGAAGCCACCGGACTCTCTATATGAGTTCTGACACCTGAGCTCATGGCACATGAATAAAAAGAAGTACATAATTCTAGGACACTGCTAGTCACAAAGATGATACGTTTCAAGTTCAGTATCAATACAGACAGAAGAATCTAGACTTGGATATTATGCTCCCAAGCAGACTTAGAGGCAGCTTTTCTTTTTTCTCTCTTAAAAAAAAGAGATTAGTTCTATCACTAAAGATTAAGCACATCTCTAGAATCAGCAATAATTACGGTCTCTGTTCCAGGTATTCCAGGTAAGTAATACCATGAGTAAAGAAGGGAAAGAGTAGGAAGATAGGTCCTGAGGCCTTCCAGAGTTAGAGCCGTGTCTGTTTTACTTCCCTTTCTGCAGTTCCTTAAGACTCTTCACAAGCCACACTTCCTGCCACCAGCCATTTTGTGGCCTCTGCTTTAGGGTTTCTGTCTCCTTTTATCCAAATGAGATTCACCCTCTAACTCTGCCTACTTAGGAAACATCCTCAGATCCTCCAGACAACAGGAATCAGTTCCCCTCTCCTGGTTTTGTTATTTTATACTCATTTCCTGGGTCTTCCTCTTGCCTTTCCTTCTACACTGCAAATCCTTTTTCCCCAGCCTATCTTTTAACTATAAGACGAAACAAGAAGTCGGTCATTTGTTAGTCATTAAATAAACCCAACTAGGCTTTATCTTTTAAAAATAGACAGGAAACATACAATGTTCCAATAAACTGAATTTTCTCAAAGACTATATATAGCTCATCCTTTTAAGTACTACATTCTTGTATTTTTATATTTAATGAGCACTTAAAATATATTCAATATTTTCATGTCTTTCAAAAGAGGAAGTATCAAAACATGATTTGTCCTTTTTGCATTACTTTCTAGCACACATACAAACACCATTTTGTGTGCCTCGTCAGAGACAAAGATGCCCTCTGGAGTTATTAATAATTTTTGGATACCCTAACTGACTCCCAATACCACAGACACATAGTTCTGAGGACTTTATCTGGTGAATATCGATAGCCATTTTTAAATTTTCACCTTATATATAATAAGTGCTTTATCTGTGGAAAGAGAGAAGGGAAGGAGAGGGAGAAAAATGACTTCTAGGAAAACCTAGTAATTTTTTTTAACTTTTTCATGTAGTAATTATGTAAAGCTTTATTTCAAATATCCTGAATTCATAAATGTTAATAGAAATGTAGGTACATAAGTGATGTATCTGTATTTACTAACTCAATAGCATCAAAAACAAAAGCATATATTTATTTTTTAAGGTTTTTTTGGAAAAAGCATACATTTATTAAGCATGGCTATGTTAAATGCTGGAAGTACCATGCTGAGCAAAAGCAGGCGGGATACGACCACATCTAGAATCAAGTCAGTGACGAGAGTCCCAGCCTCATTCAGTGGCTCTCAGCCTCCTCTGTCCAACACCACGATACTGGCCATCTACTTGAGACATGCTCCTTCACATGCCCTCCCCTCCTTCGGTTCTAGGTGTAACTTCCTGCTTTTCCTCCATGAAAGAAACCCCATTGGAACGCAAGGGAAAGTAACACTTCTGTTGGCATTACTCAGAATGATATTAACTTTTTTTTGTAGTACTTAGAATTGAACCTAGGGCCTTCGCGATTAGCTATATCTCTAGCTCTCCTTACTTTTTTATTTTCAGTCAAGGTCTCACTAAGTCACTAAATTGCCCGAGCTGGGTTTGAACTTGAGATCCTTCTCCCTCAGCCTTCCAGACTGCTGGGATTACAGGCATGTACCACCCCACCTGGCTTCAATTCTTTTTAATGTGAATTGCTGGTGAACTACAGAACTTTATGCATATTAGCAAGTTATTAGTGAACCACCAAAACCCAATAAATACAAGCAGGCCTATATCAATTGTGATTTCCTCCACCAATTTAAATAAAATGGACCACTCTCTCCCACTACCTATTTAAATAAAATATCTCCCAGAGAAATCATTAACCATATTAATTAACTCTTTCAAAATGTCTTCAATGTTCATCCATGCCATTTTACTTTTTATATACTTTTTGAATCTATACCAACACAGAGTCTTCTCAGACTAAGTTTACTATAGTGCAGTGCTGTATGAAGATATGAATTACTTCCATCTGCTTCACAAACTCAAGGTCCTGAGTTCAATCCCCTGTACCAAAAAAAAAAAAAAAATAGAAATGAATTCACAGCATTTAAGTATAAAAACACTTGCCAACTCTCCCATGTATAAAGACTGATATGAGGGCCAGGGGTTTAGCTCAGTGGTTCTGGCACCTGTCTCACAGGTGCAAGGTCCTGAGTTCAATCCCTGGTACCAAAAAAAAGACTGATATGATTGGTTTATTCATTCAACATTTATTAAATGCTTA